AAATATAATATATGAAATATAATAATATAAAATATGTATAATTTTTATTTCAATTTTTAGATGTCAACTGGACCTACACATAAACATCGTTACAAAAATGTAGGATTAGATTCTCAAGAGTTGCGAAGACGCAGAGAGGAAGAGGGAGTCCAATTAAGAAAACAAAAACGTGAGCAGCAATTATCAAAACGTCGCAATGTTCCAAACATTGTTGCAGATGAAGATAATGTGACATCTACAGATGAATATTCACTTCCTATTGGTACTGCACAATCGGTAATATAATTTATTATTATATTTTTTTACTGTTTTTATGTATAATTTGTTTCATAATAATTTTTCTTTTTACATAACAAAATTTATATTTTAACAGTCTCCTGGTATTATAACATCTGAAATGGTAGATGCATTATATAGTCCTAACATACAAGATCAATTGGCAGCAACGCAGAAATTTAGAAAATTATTATCAAGAGAGCCAAATCCCCCTATAGATGAGGTGATACAAACAGGAATTGTACCACAATTTGTTGAATTTCTTAAAAATAATACAAATTGCACTCTGCAGGTTGGTACATGGAAATATGACAAATGTGTATAAATGTTCTCTTTTGTTGTGTATCAAAGATACATATAAATGATAATATTAATTGTTAGTTTGAAGCAGCATGGGCTCTGACAAATATAGCAAGTGGTACATCTCAACAAACACGTATTGTGATAGATGCAGGAGCTGTTCCTACTTTCATATCTTTACTTGGTTCTGAATATGAAGATGTGCAGGAACAAGCTGTTTGGGCATTGGGTAATATTGCAGGGGATAGTCCTGAATGCAGAGATCATGTCTTAGCCAATGGTATCCTTACACCACTTCTGCAGTATGTTTCTTTATATTTACAGTTTTTATGTGAATTATTATAGTTTATCGTTATTATAAGAAAAATGAAAGATTCTTATATACATGTTGCACAATAATATTCCTATATACATATTATATTATACACACAATAATATAAAACTAATATTGCACTATTTTTACAGATTGCTATCAAAGGCAACACGACTTTCTATGACCCGCAATGCGGTATGGGCATTATCAAATCTCTGTCGAGGAAAAAATCCAGCACCAGCTTTTGCAAAAGTTGCACCATGTTTACCAGTGTTGGCACATCTTCTCAATCATACTGATTATGATGTACTCGCTGATGCTTGTTGGGCTCTTTCTTACTTGAGCGATGGCCCAAATGATAAAATACAAGCTGTTATTGATGCTGGTGTTTGCAGACGTCTCGTAGAACTTCTCATGTATGTTTATATTTATTATGCATAAGATTAATTATATGTGGATTGTATAACAATTGAAAATTTTTCAGGCATGAACAAAATAATGTAACAAGTGCGGCTCTTCGTGCTGTAGGAAACATAGTTACTGGAGATGATGTGCAAACGCAAGTTGTATTAAATTGTTCGGCATTACATTGTCTATTACATCTCTTAAGTTCGCCACGGGAAAGTGTTCGTAAAGAGGCTTGTTGGACGGTCTCTAATATCACTGCCGGTAATCCCCAACAAATACAAGTATGTTTCAATCTTTTAAACATAATAGAATATAACTTTGTTTATATATATCGTATATCAATAATTAATATACAACATTGATTTCTATTAGGCGGTGATTGATGGTAATATCTTTCCGGTTTTAATCGAGATTTTGAGTAAAGCTGAATTTAAAACACGTAAAGAAGCTGCATGGGCAATTACAAATGCTACTAGTGGCGGAACAGCCGAACAAATTCGATACCTCGCAGTGCAAGGATGTATTCCGCCGCTTTGCGATTTGCTTACTGTTATGGATGTCAAGATTGTTCAGGTCGCTCTAAATGGTATAGAAAATATTCTACGCCTGGGAGAACAAGATGCAACTATGCATAATGGTCTCAATCCTTATGCAGTTCTTATCGAAGAATGTTATGGTAAAATATCAATTTGATACAAAGGTTTTCTATGAAAGACGTGTCATCGTCAATAAATATTAATTTGTTAAATTAATTAAAAAAAAAATATTTCAGGCCTAGATAAGATAGAATTCTTGCAATCGCACCAAAATATGGATATTTATCAAAAGGCCTTTGATATTATCGAACGATTCTTTGGGTCTGAGGAAGAAGATACGCGACTTGTACCTTCAATCGATTCACAAGGACAAGAATATCAGTTCACCGCACCAGATTCTTCCCAACTACCAGTGCAAGGCTTTGAATTCTAATCATCTGTCTTTAAATTTCTGAATATAACTCTGTTTCGTTAAACGTTAACGTTATTCGTTCCACAGGGATTTATAATATTCTAAAAATTAGTAGGGGAGATTGTGCGCCGAGCTATTTGTTTATGGGAGGTAAGTGTCCACATACTGCTATCTCAGGTGTTAAACGATAGATATCCTTATTAATTTAAAAAGTAGCTGAAAAAGCTAAGTAACATGAAAATAAAATTTTTTGAAATTACATGCTTTTTCAACTACTCGTTAGAATGGTAGACATCTGCTCTTAATATCTGATCTGAGATAACAATACTGTGGACATATGATCTCTCCTACATTAATAGGAAATATAATTTTACATATTCATTCACTGAGCTTGAGTGTATTTATGTCAGAAGTACAAAATAATTGAAACTGATCTATTCTTCTTTTATTCGAATTAAAAGCAGTAAAAACTCTTGATACATTTTCAATTGATTTCTTTTTTTTTTATTATTTAAGATGAACCATAACTTACTCTATGTTACGACCTGAAATTGTTTTCGAATCTACGTCAAATTACGACAATGTCTATGTTTAGAGCCTTGAAACAATTTGTGTAGGAACACTTACAGATTCATACCTGCATGTATTTAGTATGAGACGTTTAGTTTTTTAAACAAACGTCTTAGTGCTTAAGTAGAAGTGGAGACAGTGATCAGAACAATTTGTCGAGGCAAACTCACACCTCGTCCGACATGTGACTGACGCAGAATTACGAAAAAAAAACTTGCATTACCCTGCAAGACACTAACTGAATGACTGAAGTACGCGACTACGTAGCCAACACGGACAACATTACGCAACGCGGTACTCACCTCCTTACTATACTAGATAGAAACATGACCAATTAAACTTTTTTACTGTAAATACGTATCTCGTAATTTTAAGGCTATTCTATACAGAGTGCCCTCAAGAAACGAAGTAATAGTTTTATTTGGCCGTCAATGCAACAGCTTGCGATAATTGAGATATTTGTAATTTGTGATAAATATAATTTGTACTGAGATACGTGCAAAGTATGCTTTGGTTTTCTTATGTTAAATAATCGTGCGGAATGCAGATTCCAATTATTATATACTTATACTTTTGTTAATCTAGTATCATACAATCAATTATTAATTCTTAATTATAAATATTTGCAAATGTATTAAATAAATATTTTTTATCTTATGTTTTCCATAATTGAATTTTTAAATTATCGCAGAGTATTATATCAATATTTCTCAACCCTTTATTTGCCTATGATGAAAATGAATAGTATTGAAATTGTACAGCACATAATCAGATTTTGGACATTCTGTATGAAAAGTCTATGACTGTATATATGAAATGTATTTATTATTTAGGTTTGACGATACCACACTATATTACACAAACCTTATATATACTATCTATTTTTAGTTACCGATTTGTGAATTATTACGACAGAGAACGACTGTACTACAGCTCATTAGTTGAAACTTTGCTAACATATTACTTTAGCAAATGTAGCTATGGATGCTTGTTGCCAATTTATAATATATTTACCGAATAATATTACATAAATATAGAAAACTGGATTTATCGAGTGATTATGCGCTATGCACATTATTTTTATATAAAATTTTGGAATAAATTATTTTTTATTTTATATATATATATATATATAAAATAGATAAAATCATATATATGATATCAATCCTGAAAACTGATGGATTGGTCTAAATCAGTGTTTTAATCGGTATAATCAACAATCTTTAAATACAACATTTTTACCAAAAAATATAATGTATTCTATAATTATTTTAATTAAAATAGATTTTGTGTTTTTACATTTCGTTTTTAATCAATATTAATAAAACAAATATTACTATTACTTTTATTTCACGTAAATAGCATGAACATGTATTGATAAATTTATTACAAACTTTTTCTGCTTATTAAAGTATTCATTATTGAAAGATTAAAAACCACTTGTCTAAATCATGAATATATTTTTCCCAACGATCTGTAATACAATGTTAGAAAATTTATTAAAATAGAAATAAAGCTGTATAAATAGATATTGTGTATTAAACCATTAGTTATTTTAAGTTTTTCAACTGCTTTTAGAAAATATTGAATTGTAATTTGATATTCTTATATATATAAAATGAATATATTCTAAAAAGCATTGAATGCATATCCAAAAATTAACAAATTTTTATTTAAATCACAAAAAATTAATGAAAATCATGTAAAATATGAAATAAAATTTGTATTTTACATGTTTATTTGATATATATGTATATATTTTAATATTTAATTTGAGTAAGATAACGAATTAACGACGTTAATAGCTAAATGAATTTTTTTAAATATAAATCGTTTATTGTATGCAATTCATACAAAATGTTCATACAAAAAATAAATTATTTGCGTATATTTGTAAATGTAACTTGTCAATAATATTTTGCAATTTTATTATATGTAAATACCTTATATCATTAAACATATTAAAACTACAGTGTATCAGGTCTTGTAAATTGGCAATGAGCAGGATACGATACTTGACATTATTTCAATTGTTGTATGGACTGCCGACTGACACATTAATACAAAATCGAATATCATACATACACAAAATAATCCTAATTATTGTATTTTATTTTGAAGCTAAATAAATATGTCATTCGGAAATATGCGTGAAATCGCTACGTACAGTGTCATTATATTTTTCGAAAATAGAAATATGAAATTGTGATTAGAAAAACTGGCTAAAAATAAAATTTATTTCGTGTAACATTGGCATAACAAAATAAAGTTAAATTAACAGATCTATAGATTTTATATCTTTAGTTTGTAATCAAGAACGAGTAACTTTATCATAACTGTCATGACTGGTAATTGTATATGCTAAATTCATTATATACAATACAAAAAACTATAGAAAATATTTTTAATATTAGAATCTTTTTCAGTTCTGACAGTTTTGATTTAATAAACTGCAGCAATAGCTTACAGAATAAATCTAAAAAATATATAATATGTTCAGCATTACATTCATCATGTACATTAATATATATTTTATATTATACTACTAAAAGTAACACCAACCTATATGCGATTCGTGACTCGTAATAAATTTACAGAAACTAATCATTTATCAATATGGATTCTCCATAATGTTCGCTATTTGTGATTTATTTATATATAATCCATGATAGAAAACCTTATTCAGCAAGATAAGAAGATATCAATTTCTCGCAGTCAAAAAATTGTTTTAAAACTGTATTTCTAGGAAGTAATGTATGTGTTTTAGAATTTGATATTTACAAAGGGTTCAATTAACTGAGATTAAATAGAATGTTAGTAGTTTTATTCTTTTTACATAATAATAATGACTTGACACTTAACATCATGTCCCCTGATAATAGCTCTTTTTAAATATGAATAGAAATACAGCTCATATATAATTGTATTTCATTACTATTATATTTATCGAAAATGTTGAGGCAAAGTTTTACATTCAAGAGTTTTCAATCAATACAAATTAACATGATTTATTTTAATTTCATTAGAATACCGTTTTGTTAGTGACTCGATATAAATAAATAATAATTACAAATTCGATGAATCTGTCTTTCTAAATGAGTCTCTTCGAATAGCAAACTGCACATAGGGCGCTAGCTTTGAATTGACAATTTTTCTTACTTACAAAAATATTGAACTTTTTAATTACATAACTACATCAATGTGCTGTTACAACTGCATATGCTTATCTTCTTTTTTCAATTCAGATTAGCAATATCTTAATTGTGGTTCAGGTTGTACCGATATAATTACCCCATCTGTAATGCGCGTTACAAGTGCAGCCAAAATATCCTGATCGATGCTTTTTGATAGTCGGTTATACATCTGACTTTCTACAAAGTTTAGCTTCTTCTGTTGTGACAAAGAACTGTTAGTTTGCATAGTAAGAATGTAAATAGCTTCTGCTACTAAAGGATTTATTCTATCGCATAAATTATGTAATGCCTTTATTGCTTCTGCATTAATATTCAATATATCGTGAATAATCTGCAATAAATTTATTTGATTGTCAGTTCATATAAATAGAGTTTATATTTGAAATATACGCATACTCACCACAACTTTTTTTTTCTCCGGAGAATGTTCTTTTAATGTAGTAATGATTTCACCAGCATCGTTTCCAAAATCTTTTGGATTAAATATCAGATAATTATCTGCATTCAAAATATCACTGCTCATATGTGCTAGTTTAGTAGCTAAACAATTCATTGTAGTTGTTTCGTTTGCAAATAGCAGAATTACTGAAGGTGTTTTGGGAATTTTTGATATCACTTCGTTTATAGCACATGAAATATCATTCCAGATATCTAATTCTTGATTAGAAAATGATGTTTTGAGGTTTTGGACTGATTCAGTTAAAGGATTATTAAGAATTATAGACTGCTCTTTATTGTTATTTAAAAATAATTGGAAAAATATTCCTACTGCTAATACTAATATGATAATGTAGAAGTAAAGATTGTTGCTTGTATTCTGTTTAGTATAGTCCCTTTTCTGTTTAGTATAGTCCCTTTCATACTTTATTTTCTGTGAACAAATACATCTTTCTGGAGAGAAAGTTATAGAGCGATCTTGTGAACATGAATGTAAAGATAGTATCTTTTCGTCTTCCTTACTAGAACTTTCTGTCACTTGTGTATTTTCATAACTTTGATTTTTAAATAATTCTTCTTCACTTTCATCAGATGAATTTGATATATTTTTTTTCATTTCCGAACTTTGAAAACTATTATTTAAGAAAGGGTATTTACTTCTATCTTCTGATTCTAGAGATCTTCTAGATTTGGAATTAGATAATGTGGATGTCATTGGTGAGCTGTGAATCTGCAAAATAATAATGCATTATCAGTTACACAAGTAAATCAGAAATAATCATGCAGTCTCGATAATGCTTTGTAATCAAATTTAATTTACCTATAGTATCAAATTTAATTTACCTGTAGTATTAAATTTAATTTACCTGTAGTATCAATATAACTCTTAAATAGAATCTGTTTGTCAAGTTATATTCCAAAGATAAATGCATGTAGTGACAAGTGATATATGAGATTTTAATCAATATACTTTAAAGAGATTAATAAAAAGTAGAAAGTAACATCCTAAAGAAAGTTATACATACATCTTTTGTATCTTCTGATCTTAGAGATTTTCTACGTTTGGGTGATATAGGTATCATTGGTGGGTTATGAATCTGTAAATAATAACATAATACATAGAGAAGATATGAAGAGGAATCGCAATTATATGAGTGAAATGTTAGTAGAATACCAAGACTCTATATATTTAAACAGAATACTGCAAATTAACATCATTTGTATTTTATTAGCAGAAATTGAGACAATTTAAATAGCAAAAGAATCAAGACATGTTCAGATTTATACTGGCAGTACTGAAAATCTATGGTGCACATAATATGAATTATAAATTTTCAGTATTAGCAGTATACATATATCCAAATACAGTCTAAATAGACTACAGGTATTTTTTATTCCTGCATTCTTGTACGGTGCAATAAGTTAAAGGGTTAAAAATAATAAAATCAATAGCCTCTAAAGAAAATTTTAAAAAATAATAAATAAAATGCCAATTTGAGCCGACACTGGTTATTAGTGTGTATTTTTTAATAACATCAACTCGGACATCACCACCACGTGTGTTCTCGCTTTTTATGTTATTAGTTTATACTCATATGCGCTACCATTATGTAATTTTGTTAATATATCTTTTGTACTGAAGAGGACTGTAGGTCGAAACGTATACGTTTAATATTTACTTTGAATAAATGTTATTAAAAAATACACACTAATAACCAGTGTTGGCTCAAATTGGCATTTTATTTATTATTTTAAAAGGTCAACTCATGATTAACTTTTAATTAAGGTTTAACTTATTTTAAGTAATAATGAATAATAATGAATTGTAAAACTAAACCTAAATGAACCCTATGTAACCGTCTGTTAACTTCTACCTAACCGAGGTTGGTGAAAGAGACTCAAGATAAAACAAACATAAATTTGTTTCACCTCAACTTATTGCATCGTGTGCATCAGAAAATGCAGAAATAAAAAAACAGACCTTGATGTATTTAAAATATTTAAATAATTACAAAACAGTAAATTCTGCTTATGCCTATTTCCACTAATGTAGATTAACTTTAATCTCGATTCAACTTACTCTTCATCTTTTCCTATTCTTTAGAACTAATTTTTAGAACTAATTTTTAGAACTAGATAATAGATTTCTAATCTTTAAGAATTAGAAAATCTTAGAAAAAGAACCTTTTAGAATCTCTCTAAAAACAGAATCTTTTAGAATTAGAAAAAGACGAAGAGTAAGTTGAACCGAGATTAAAGTTAATCTACATTGGTGAAAACGGCCATTAGTCGGTTTTTGCAGTTAATCTATTATTACATCCTGCTTTCAACTCTCGCAGATTTTGCTATATTTTTACTGGCATTTTACCAACAAAACATGTAACGCGCATAATTAAAAAATCTATTTTCGACAGATTTTACCATTATCTACGTAATGTAAGAGAAAAAAATCCTGCGTGTAACAGTCGAGGATTCCATTCGCTTATCTCGGCGAAGATGAATACGATTTCTCAGGAAAATCAATAAGTAGCAATGAAACCCAAAGACATATACCTTGGACATTCCGCAGCCGGTGGCCTCATCTCCACTCATAACTTATCAGATCGTTACAGAAAGATATAAAATGTTATGACGAACAATGTTATAACCTCATTATAACGGACAGCAACTAGTTGTATCGCGAGTATTTGCGATTATCGCAAATGATTGCAAATTTTGCCGTAGAAGCGTCGCCCTAGTGGCCCTAGTGCTAATATGTGACCTAGCACCAGACTACGCGCGATTGATGAAAATCGATTCGAGATTGGCGTTAGTTTCAGAGGTCATCGGTCGCCGCTTGATCAGCATCAGCTAGATGACGTGAGATACGTGAATGCGGCCATTGCGACAACTGACAGCAACGCGAGCGGCGAGACGTACGTTTGCGAGGATCCGGCTCATCCGGCCGCCGTTGTCGTCGTCGTCGTCGCCGTCGCCGCCGCCGCCGTTGTCGCCGCCGCCAAATCTGAGGGCGTCAATGAACGTCTGAATGCGAATTTGAAGTTGCTATACAGTGACAACATGTGCATTGGTCCGTTGAAGAAATTATGCCATTGGGGACCGCTCTCCTCACTCGGTACGTCATAAATGTCTCTCAAGTCCGGATGGATTCCGATCATTTCTCGTCTCATCAAACTGTCAACATCATCTTGTCAATGAAAACATGATTGATCTCTCGTCATCTACGTTCAGATATATAATAAGAACGATAATTAATTTGATTAAATTCCGATTAACTTAATTGAAGATGATTAACTTCAAAATAGAACTTTTGTACGTAGATTAATTATTAATTTTTTATCGTTTGATATGTGAAAAGAAATATTAATGAAATTATGTAAGGAAAGTGCAAGAATCTGATAAAAGGGATAGAGGAGGTATAGAGGAGAAAATACTGTCTGACAATTGATAGTAATATGATGTTTGAAAAGCTAGAAAAAATAAAATAGAAGACTTTAACAAGGATTTTTCTGGACAAGAGGAATTAAGGAAACTGAAGAAAATATTAAATGATTATAAGTGAGATAACAAAAAGAAGAAACTGACAATCAAAAGCAAGGATTTTATTGTATTTAAATTAGTATATTGATGAGAATTCAGTTATTTGTTATTAATTTATCATTGTTTATCAATTTTGAGTTATTTATTATCTCTGAGCTAATCTTTTTTATGATGTATTAAATGACAGAAAAAGACAATTGTTTATATTAACGAAATATTACTTGATTTTGATAAGTTAATTGAAATTTAATTAAAGTCATCTTAAAATAGTACATGGTAGGCATGATTTTTAAAAATCTATTGGTAATATCAAGAGATATTTTTCAGTAAACTAGATGACGAAGTATAACATGGTGAATTATTTCATCTTTGTTTAACATTGATAAATAACAAGAATGTAACGATTTACTATATAACTGTGCCTTTTGCTTGAAAGCACCCAATAATAGCTTAATATCAATAACATATTGCAAAGAGTATATACTTTAATGTTTTGTTATATTTACAAGGTTTTTACATAATTTTTTTATACATATATAAAATGTTTAGCTCATTTTATTTGATATAAATAATATAAATTGTTGATTTGTAAGATTACCAGCATAAAATCTTGATGGCAAGGAGATTAGTTGTAGATTGCAACTTTTGTTATATTTTGTGTTGCAGCGATGATAAAGTTTATCACATTGATGACGATACACTGTAGCAGACAATGGTGGCCACCGCAAGACAGTATCCCAGCGGCTGCCAGTTTCTTACTGTTCTTTATTCTCAGTGGATTGACTCTCTTCCATTTTATCAGCGCGATTGTTGAAGGACCTGGATATCTCACATTAAAATGGATGCCAGTAATATATATTACACATTTATTATTGTGTGAACCTATTTAAAAAGTGAACACTTTTTTTCACATCTTTGCAAATAACTGAAAATCCATAAACTTAACTTCTTGTTTTCTCTTCCATTATTTTACATTTATTTGATTATTAATAGGAACAAAAATTAAAACGAATTTATGATTCTAATTTCAAATCAGAGTAGTTTGACTATATTAATTTAATTTTACATTATTTAAATATTTAGATGGTAAATATGCATTGTTACGTTGGGCTTTATTATATTTAAATTATAGTAATTAATGATAAATTTATAATACAAAGCATGTAGATTTTGTCGTATTATTAATATATGTTTGCATTAATATGATTCGTTTTCAGGAAAAAGCTACAGATATACAATATCTGCAATACTGTATTGTCTGCCAAGGTTACAAGGCACCGAGATCACATCATTGTAGAAAATGTAAGAGATTAAATATAATGTAATTAAAACATAAAATAACAAATATAAATATAAATATTACTTAAATATTAATATGTTTTTAAAAGATTTGTAAATTTGTTACTACGATGTTAATATAATTTAACGATTTTGGTGCTTTTTCTATTTTGGTACTCTTGCTCGTCAATCTACTTATTGATAGAAAAACACAAAACGTAGTATATACATAAAAAAGTTTAAAAACATTGTTTAATTTTCCAATGCAACTCTATTTTAATTATGCTACATTTTTTTTTATTTACTTTTTAGGTAATCGTTGTGTGATGAAAATGGATCATCACTGTCCGTGGATAAATACATGCGTTGGACATTATAATCACGGACATTTCACAGCGTTTTTGGCAAGCGCAATCGGCGGTTGTTCTGTCTCTTTCATTATATTAACTTCCTGGATAACAACCGTGTTATCACTAAAACCTTTGCCATTCCCACCACCAGAGTTTTATACAATAATATTAGTCGTATTTAGTATTGGTGCATCAATTGGCGTTGTACTTGCAGTAGGAATGTTATTAAGTGTCCAGGTAAATGTTTTTAATACTCTTATATTTAATTGATGCATTAATTGTATAATTCTTCAAATTACATAGATATTAGCCATCTTGAGAAATCGAACAGAAATAGAAGATTGGATTCTGCAAAAATCTCACTGTTGGCGAAATGATACAGATACCGAATATATACATCCATATTCAAAAGGATGGCTTTTCAATATTAGTCAAGTTCTTACATGGGATTGTACTCCCGTCGGCGATGGCATTACGTGGCCAGTTATTGATGGCTGTGATCAATATACATTAACGGTAATTTTATTTAATTAATAATATGTCATTTAATTAATAATAATTCTATAATAATTATTTATTTAAAAACATATATGACAAAAATTTACATAAATATCGCTTACGCGCGTATATTATTATTAACTCTTAGAAACTGTAATTATAATATACTAATTATTATTTTGCAGAGAGAACAGCTTGCTCAAAAATTAGACAAACGGAAAAAAGCACGCATATATAGGATTGTACAAGCTGCATCAGGATCTAAATTTCCAATTAGTCATGGTTTTGGTGTATTTTTTCATCCACTTTGTACTGATGAATCTCGTATTAAGTTGGATGTAGATGATATTGTGATTGTAACACGTTGGAAGAAGTATGCATTTTGTATATGATATTGAATTATTAAAAATTAATTTTTTAATTAAATAATTTGCTAATTTACGAAAAATTTTTATACTTTGTTTGCAGATATTGGTTATTTGGACGAAAAGAACAGAAGGAAGGAGAAGATGGAAAATCGAAATGTATAAGGGGATGGTTTCCACGGCCCTGTGCGGTGGAAGTAATAGAAAAATCTATATGGCTTGGATAATTGATCCAAAATAATTTATTAACTTTAGAAAATTTATGTGACAACATTTGTGAAGATTTAAGAAACTTATTTATAATACAGATTTATAATAATTTTGCATTTTTTAATAGTAAAAGCTGTGAAGAATAAGATAGAAGGACATTACACTCCATACCTGTTTGTGTTCAAATTAATATATTTTTCTTGTATTTATACCTCAAACACTATAACCAATAGATTAAGATATATTATCCTACTATTAAGATATATATTTATCCTATATTATACATTTATTGCATATAAATAAGTAAAAATATTTTATATAAATTTTTACTTATTAAGATACTTTGATGAGTTCTTATACAGCGTGATAGTTTTGTTGTACAATATACATGTAATTATATACGTATTTATACATATAATTTAATAATTGTATACATATATATAATCATTATTTAATAATGATATGTAAATATGATCTATAGTAACAAACTTACTTTAATTAGAAAAATATTATTCTAATTAAAAATATTTTAAATTATTAAAATGTAAGTTTTTTTATCAACTTTTTATAAGAAAAAACACATATTACAAGAACTTCTACATGTTTTAAGATAACAGGAAAGATATTTGTAAACGAATACAATAAATAAATTTGATGTGATTTGCGATGTGATTACGAAGTAATCTGAAAGAAGTATTCCCAGCGTATATACAACCGAGACGGTCTGAAAAGGCCGTGGAAAATCAATAATACAGTGTGAAAAGTCGCATTGACTGAGTGAACTCACTATATACGTGTCAGAGTACATGTACAGTGAGTATAAAAAGTATTCGTACAGAGAAAATATTTTTTAAAAAAACTTTATTTTTAAAAATTAAATATTATCCAGCGAGAAATGAGTCATCGAATTAATGTCGAATCGATATCGATGTAATGATTTCAACATGATTCAATTTGACGTCGATTCGACGTTTAATTGATGATCATTTCTTGCTGGGTAATTAACAATTTATTCATAAAGTATAAAATAGATTATATGTTTCTTAAAATTATATATACCAAAAAGATGTGTATTAATTATAGAAAACATATCATCTGAAAAATAAGCGAAAATTAAAAGTTCCATTGTTTGGATGCTCAAAAAGTGTTCATACAATCGAAAAATTTACCTTATAATATCAGAAATACATTTGTATATGTTAGAACAAAATGTATTTATTTTATAAAATTGCTAATTAATATTTAATTTCTATAAATAAGACTTTTTTTATAACAAATTTTCTTGTACGAATACTTTTTGCTCTCACTGTATGTGTACCGCGCGCAAGCTTTTGCATTATGAGCGTTCGTTCGAAGAGTTTAACATGCAATACGATTGCTTTGCACGATTGCAGGACGTTTTATTTTATTATGATTCTATACTCATCTCGATCGAATGCGTAATGTTAGACGTATAATAATAGGCGAATGAGTGTGTAGCACACAAAGGAAATTATTGCGTAAGGGTCAATGTTACAATTCTTGTGTAAATGCAAGCCGCTAATATCACGTCCGTATCAGTTGTACGCATAACATATATTTAATAATCGGCAGTGAAAGGATCGTACTGGCAACTCGTAAAATATGTAATCGAATGTAATATGCAACAACTCAATTTGCTGCAAATGATTACAGTGTGACAAATGGATAAAAATACGAGATGCCACAGAACTTTAACATTTCTTGTCTTGCAACAGGAACTGCACACACTGCTTTGTCGAAATATATAAATACCTGTCGGCGTTCTTGAACTTTTTATAATTTTATCTGTTTTATTTAATTGATATGAATATGGATTCCTTTCATCCATTCACTCCAGATCTTGGAAATTAATATTCATATATATTCTCTTGCGAAGCTTAAAAATACAAACGAAAGAACAAGATTAATTAGAATATAGAGCGAAATAGCTTTAACAACGGGTAAATAATTTCGCGCGCGCGCGCGTGTGTGTGTGTGCGTGCGTGTGTGCGATAATAATTATATAATGAAGATTAAAGGCTGTCGTGCACAATAAAAAGCAATGCAAATAGCGCGATGCACATAGATATTCAAGAGTGTACTATATTACACATTCAATAAGCGTATCTTTTACTTTGATTTTCACTTTGTATTATTTAAATTAACTAATTTACGAATAAATGAATCAGAGTTATGTTAAAATTATTAATTTCATAGAAAGATAATTTTAAATTAAAGATAAAATTTACATATATATTTACATAAATTATGTACATATTTTTTAGAATAAACAGCTTTATAAAAACATTTCACTTTAATTTAAAATAACTTTTTAGATCTTATTCTTTCTTTTTATAAAGAGAATTTTAATGGCTGTTTCAAAATTACATATTTAATGTACAAAAATTAAAATGCCAATAAATTGCAGAAGTATTTAGGAGTATAAAATAATCGAAGAGTATTCTGTAATTTCTAATGAACTTTATTAATTAAAAAATATTTAAGTTTCAAGAAAACAAAAAAATAAACAGTTTTACATACTCACATTTATATAATTGCAATAAAAAAATAATAATAACACGTTATTTTCCGACAAGAGATCAATTTTATACATATAATTGATGAAAATAGTAGTAGTTACATCATGTATCGTTACATGACATGTAAAAGGAAATACATATATAATTACTACTTACGGTAGTACGTGATTTCTGCTATGTGTAAATCGTAGATATTCTCCTAAACGAACGAAGAGTGGAACCGGTTGTAGGATCGACGAAGGAAGTGAAAGTGAAGGATCAATTTAGTAAACGCAAGTGTGCGGCTTTGTAATCCTGTGGTGGGATCCTACTAACGTTTAGGTTGCCAGCAATCAATTGAATACTGCAGTTTCTTATGTGCGGATCTGTCACGAGCACGAAATATCTTTTTATTCTTACTTGTCGTGTAAACAGTTAACTATTTTGAGTAAGTCTCTAATTTATCGCGCGAACTTATTTAATTTATCGCTTGCATAAAGAAGTAATCGCTTCCGACTATCTCTTCGAGGTATTACCGGTATTTATCTTCTCTAATCAGATTAATTTGTATCAAATTTGTATCTTGCCCTAAGTAGTATCTTGTTATGAATTTTTTTATTGTTTCAAATTATAGATTTATGTATTAGAACTTTATTTCTGAAATTAGTCATGTATAAAAAATTATAAAATTAATCAACAATGATTTAAATTTCAGATGGTTGATGTTATTTATATATAAGCTACTTTTTTATATGTTAGCTACATATATTTATTTCTATTACTCTATAATATTTATTTTTACTCTTATGGTATTTAAATTGTGGAGGCATTCTTCATGCAAAAATATTATTGGATTTGCGAAAAAACGATTGAAAATAATTAGAAAATCATTCAAATCTAATATTGCACACAATATTCTATTCGTTCCGATAGTTTCTTCATTAATCCAATAGTATTTTTTCATAAGGGGGTGAGCGCCAGAAATGATATTAATATAAATGTTAAATACAAAACGCATTATAATTAAAACAAATTATTTGAGCACTCAGGAAATATAATATAATCTGCGTAAGTTAATTATATATATATATATATATATATATATATATATATATATACGAATATTGAAACGTTCCGCTCATCCTCAGAAACAACCGGTATTAATAAAATTTTTTTGCATGTATCTCTCGCGTCGTCGGAATGAAGGAAGCGACGCGATCAAGATGCATCTTGCCGGACACGTTAAGGTTTTATTCACACTCGTCCTCTTCTCGTCGATTTCCGTTTTCGGATTTCCAGACGGTGGGCCGGTGGACGCGTGCGTGAAGCCACGACCTAATCAACCCTATCATGGTGAAGCGCGGTCACAACCCTTAAGCACGAGCCCTTACAAGATACTGGCTTCGTCGTCGCAGTACGAACCAGGTTCACAGGTCACAGGTGAGCCAAATGCGCATGGCGCTTATATTATTAAACATCATTTGGGTATTCTGGGTTAATTTCTAGCTACGCAAAACAAATGATGAGGTTTTTAGTTAAGTCTAAAGTACTTCCGAGCGAGAGATGCTCCGCAATATAGGCTAGAATAATAATTTTATGATTAATTTTATACTTTGGAGTACACTTAAGTCTTTATACGGTTAATATCGTCTGAGATAAAGCTAATAAGATAAAAGGACACTACATGTATAGGGCGAGAAGAAGCTATTGAAAGTGTTGGAATTGAATATTTTATAATAAATTACCGAAAAGAAAGGGTTAAATTAAACATTATCTCTATAAAATTTTAGTATATAGTGCAAAAAATATATCTATGTTTATAAATATGTAAAAATAAATATAAAAAGAATAAAAAAATTGATTATAGTTGCATGGCTTAACGATGTATGTATGGAAGATCTCGATGTGAATAATTATCTTTATAAAAAGAATTTACTTAAAATTCTTCTAAGGTAGTTATAATTATTAAATTTAAATTAGAAAATAGTATTTAATAGTTTTAAAAATACTATAATTGTAATGTAAGTTCAGATCGTCATTATTCCAAAAATATTAATCACTGCATATAACTACCTGTATTATTTAATATTTCTTATGATATTTATTTTTATAAATATATACGTGTATAAAGAATTGGTTATAGTGCAATATTTAATTTATTTTATTCTATTCATTACAAAATAACTGTAATTTAGTTTCAATATCAACTTTTCAATTATTATCTTAATTAATACATTAAAAAAAGAAAAAAGAAATATTACTAATATCTTGCATAATTAAAAAAATATAATTTCTAAAATAAATTAAAATAATTATTTTGTAAAAGAAAAACAAAACAATGCAATCATAAAGCAGAATTAATTTATATTTTTTCTTTTTCTTTCTATTGTTCGCTTAATTATTACTTATATAGTATTTAGTAGTTCGCTTTATTTTTTGTCAAAGAAGCATGTATTTTGTCCGACATGAGATAATTGGATGCATCAAAATTACAATTGCGAAACGTGTTCAATGTATGTAACAATGTACTCCGTCATCGTTGATGAACACGCTTGTGGAGCAATGGAGAATTAGTCTACAAGAGGGATAAATACACCCGTTAATTTTCGAGCATGCGAACAGTTTCCTTATATCGGTTACGCATGATTAAACGTAGATGTCATTTATCTACGGAGGAAGGTTGAAATGAAAGTCTGAAATCTGTTATGCAATAAATCTTGAAACTTTGAAAACTCGTATTGCAAAGCAAATGTGTGTCAACTAATTCTTATAATGCGGATCCCATGAATCAAAATTTTTAAAAGTGCGCTTTTTTTTAAATTCTAAAGCGATTGTACAATTTCTTAAAATAACGCGGTTTTTAGAAGAACAAAGAAAAAAACAATAAAAAACGCTTGGATATTGATATTTAGAGGCCGATTTTGTACAGCTTTTTTACTTTACATAATATCTACGCCACGACATCAACGATTGTCTTTAAGAGTTACAGAATCGGCCCCTTAATTAATAATTTTATCTCTAAATTCAGACCGAAATTTAACGAGATGCTTTAATAAATGTTGTACAAGTGTAGGTAAGATTATATCAATTTAATAAATTTGAAATATGCTAAATTCTTTTTTGTTATAAATCACATTGCACATTTAAATAATGTTACATGTATTTTATAAAAGTTTCAATTCTATTATAATTGTTACTTTATATCTGATAATACGTACAATTTATATTTCAAATGTAAAATTATCACTCATTATATCAATTATCGTCATTTTCACATTGTAGTTTAAAAATTTATCCTTTTAAAATTAATATAGTTCAATACTTTTTAAATTTCATTACATTATCTGATAAATACACGATTTGTTACTATGGAATTACATAGTAAAAGTTCAAATCTTTTGAAATAGATTTCAGTTACAGCATCAATAATATAAGAATGCTAGAATTTTTTAAGAATTTATATCTCTTCTTTGTAATTATATCTTATCCAGTTTATTCGCACCAACACTCGTTTCACATTCCTCGATATAAAGATAAATATTGAGATTACTGTTGCGAGCGTTATGTTCGATTATTTACTATTTCTTTTATATCACTTTGCCGATACTGCGATGGATTTGTACGACTGAACACGTAAAATTCATGTCCATGGCAATGTGTACTATGGTTATATTCTGATATTCACTGCCAGCGTTGAAAATCTATACTGCAGGTGTAATATATTATAGATGCGAAACGCAACTTTTATATAAGAGGCAAATTGAACTTTATCTCAGCGAATGGCGTCGATAGTTATCACAACTTAGCTCTCTATTTTTCAGTCACCATTGTGGGTGCCCCGTTCAAAGGATTTTTCGTTCAGGCGCGTGATACCACTTCAAACAAATGGATTGGATCTTGGACGCGTACGCCAAACACAAATATACATTCCGAGTGTAGTGCTGTGACGCACGCTGATCCACATGATAAGGAGCAAGCTACCTTCATCTGGAACGCACCAGCGGACGCACGAGGAAGTGTTTACTTCACGTGAGTGCTATATTCTTTAACAGCGGAAATCCGGTGGGAAATGTCCGTTCATGCATTAATAACGGAATACAGGAAGGACAATGTTGAGAGTCGCAAATTGCGGCGCGAGTCCTTGAAACTTGCATTATTTGTATAATTATCAAGCATTCGAACGAAAGATACAACTTCAATGAAAGATATACGATGTTATGCTAAAAATGCATGTACGTTTGTAATTGAAATGATTGTTTAAGAATTATGCAATGAAATTTCCGATAGTAATTTATATTAATTGCACATTTCATAACTATTGTGAACGTATAGCTCAAGCTTGTACGCATTTTATTCAACAGTCTACCTTTCAAAGCTACATAATTATAATTAAATAATCACTCTTGATAGCAAAATATCTCAAGTTTCTCAGTTTTATTAAGAAGTTTTTATTTTAGGAAGAAATATGAAATTTCCGATGATTAGACATGTTTTAAAAAAATCACACATAAGAATTATTTACATTATTTTTATAAAATATATAAATAACGTTAAAAAGCTATAAATAAAATTTGCACACATATATAATTTTATATATAATTTTAAAATATTAAAAAGTCATCACGTTCTAAATTGATTTCTTCTTTTATAACGTAATCTTTCTTCTTTTACAAGTACATTACTTGGATTAAGCCACTATTATTATATAATATGATTTTGAGTTTTTTTTTGTTATTGACGAAGATATCAAAATATTCATTTTTGTACATGTTTTAAAATTCTTTTTCACAAATTTATACTTTGCGATGCATCCGTGACGAAGCAAATTTAATAATAGTAAAACGAGGACATGTAATTTTGATTGTCAGTTTAGCTATAAAAAATTTTTTATACTAAATTTTTTAGAAAGATTTTATAGATGATAAATAATAGTCATATATACTTAATTAATTTAAAAATTTTTAAAAATATGAAGAATCTTAAAGTCTTTTTAAAACTTGAGACATCCTGTAATTTTAATCTTTTTGATTATTAATGAGGATATTAAGTCATTTTTTTGTACATATATTCGTGTAAATGTACAATATTTCATGGTTGAATCAAATTTAATAACCATTAAATGAGATATAGATATAATCTACCTAATGCACGCGCAATAATTCGCGATCGGTTCATGATGGCACAGCGAGATTAATTGTATGATGGTCGCTGAAAATAATTGCTTTTATAATTTGGTCATATTATTATTCGTAATTCCACGCATATATGAAACTTGTTAATAATTTGATAAATTTTCCAGCATAAATTTTATAGTAGAAAGTTGGACCGCAAGTTGTCGATCTCTCGTCTTGAACGGCTCGCATGTGTATGTAAAAAATAAGCGCTATAAAATATTTATTGTTATAAATTGCCTTGATATTCAGTCCAATTATACAAAATATTTCTTTGTATAAATCTTATATTATCGAACAAAAGATAAACCAGTATTTCTTAATTTTTAGAAATTCTTAAATAAATTTTAAATTAACTCTTTTTATTAATAACAGGGTATTGAAAATTGAAAAGAATATAATTATTATATTATATATAAGATAAAATTAAATTAAAGGTTTTTCTATAAATTTTAAAATATAATTACAAGAGAGAGAGAGAGAGAGAGAGAGAGAGAGAGAGAGAGAGAG